TCTACTTAATTATATTTGTATGTATATTTTAAACATTTTTTCATTTTCATATTTACGTGATTCTATTTATATAGTTGACCCTGTTTCTATTTTACTTATGTTGTTACCGTTCCCCTACTCTGTTATTCAGTGCGATTATATTAAATGAATAATTATATTAATTATATTATGTTACTGTATTTGATTGCAAAGGTCAGGCCAAGGTCGTTTGACCAATTAAGGAATAAGTATACGTGGCTCTGGAACAAAGCCAAAGGAGAGAAAAATCGATTTCCATATTGGGGTTAAGGACAGCCCATTTAATTTGCATAAAATTCATTGGAAATCGATCAAGCAGTACACTTATTAACATAAACTTGAAGAAGAAGCATTTTTTCGGTTAATACAAAAAATTAGTGAATAGAATATTAAGAATATTTATCAAAAATTCGCACGAATTAAAAAATTTCAATGACTTGCGTCTGCAAAAACTAGAGACAAAAGGACGGTAAATTCAGGATGCAGCTTGAAATTTCATTCGTACGAGAAATATTAGGAACGAAGATAAAAATTCTAACGGTGCATTTAAACTGCAAATAATAAAGCGGAATGCACTGTTGTAAAACTCGTCGCCTATGTACGCGATTATATTCGCCAGTACATTTTCAGAAGGTACTGTATACGAGTGATAACAGGGATTCATGTTTCTACCGGCAAATTCGTTGTTTATACAAAGAAGAACTATAATTTACTTTTCTTCTGTATAGTATAACATAAAGTGAAGTGATAGGAAAGTTAGTACAAGTAGATAGTGCATAGCTTTTTCTAACAGTGACGAGGTGATAATATATCTGGAAAAAATGGCGATAAGGATAAACGAGTACACTAACTTCCGCAACATCAAACTCATGTCTGGTCATGACATTCTAATATAACATGTTTCATAACTTATGAACTTAAATACAGAAGTAAACGTGAATGCTATTTTACGATTAAATTGTGCTAACTCACTTATGAATGGTAACAACCTACGTTATATGAAATAATCTTTACTGTATGATATAAAATGTAAACGTCCACAGTTTTAAGAATTAGTTCGCTGTACGAATTTTATTTTACAAAAAGTAATTTTCAAAAACATAAATAATTAAAACTCAAAACATTTATGCAGAAAAGAACAGACTGTGTATAATGGTAAAAACTATACACAATCAACAAAATGTTAAAAAATAATTTTGTATCTATCTTCCTTTTTAATTGGACCGCGAATACTTCTATAAGTATATATTTTCGTTAATGCTTTCACCCTAAAAGAATAATTAAACCCTCTGTTAAACCGCATTAAATTTGTTCAATTTATTTTGTTTCGATCTATTCTATACCCGTTAAGCGTGCTCCAAATCCACAGGACAATTGTAAAGTACACAGCACAACATGCTTATGTTTCCCTTTTCATGATATAATGCGCAAATTGAAACAATATGTTCTTCTGTAACTTGGTAGCAGTTTGTAGCCGCCGCAACCGCGTCTGCGGTTTACCTTTCGAGTAGAACTCTCAGGCGGAAGACTTAAGGACGACATTCGTGAAGATTAAGACGCGATTATCCTTTCACCGCGAATAACAGAGTATGCAGAATACGTGGATGGGAATAACAGTAACTTTTTCGAAACTCGACCAAATGTATGCCATTCAATATTCATAGCCCGCTGGGGCAACCCCTGACTATGCGAATCCTGGAAGCTTTTTCGATCCCATGGTTAGCTCCTAGCAAGGGTGAAATACGTTCACGGATCATCGGTTCGATTGTTCGCGAAAATATTACGCCACGATCCCGGTTCATAGTCCTTTCGAAACTTTACCTCCCAGTTTTTCCAGGTTTGTATTTATTGAAGGTTCCCAGTGTACTTGAAGCGTGCACTGAAGTTTGATCGAATAGAGAAATAGGGAAAGTACAATTGCCTGGTGGATTTCAATTGAATTATATTCTTTGCCCTTTCGGTGGCCTGGTAGACTTAATAAAATCGTTTAAAACTTTAATATATTTATATTATATCGAAGTTAAAGTTAGAATTTTACATCTTAATTAAAGAAATAACTTTGAAGCTAATAGAAAAATATGAAAATGGTATGCCTATATTATATTTTATTCATTTAGATTGATATATTTATTTGAACACGAATCCAATCAATAAAATTAATTATACGAATTAAACAAAAAGTTTAACCTTAAATCATTAAGTTGTATCATTAATAGCTTAGATAGTTAGATGAAATAAGTTTAGATATCATAGTACTAACTTAAAATTAATGCAGTTTTCCTTAATTTATTTATTTTCTTAATTATTATTTGTTTCTGGATCCTCAACTAAATGCAATCTTTGCAACAAATTGATATGATAATTGTGACAAAGGAAGTAAAACATTTTTCTACTATTTCCCATTGAGTCATGGCTCATGCCAGTCGCAATATTATCAGTGTGTACGCTAGTAAATAGACCATATATCGATGATTAAAAAATTCCATTCTACATAGTCTATATTTACTTCCACTGAATAATTCAATCATTGTTGAAAACTGCCAAATTCCGAATATTTATTTTATGTTATATTCATTTCTACAAGTTTCCTGAAACGGAAGTTCGGCATTCCATGTTTCACGATATAATACTGAAATCAATTATTCCAAGATATAAAAGCAATTTACGTTCAATTACGTGTAAATATAGAAACGCTACGACTTCGACAGAACCATAATTTAGCTAGACGGTGATTCAGATTCCACGGATTCCGGCGATATTGCTGTTAATAATTCTACAAAAGAAGCCCCGGCAAGAATTTCAGACACGACACGGACTAGAACATGGTAGAACAGAGAATGATTTAAGATCCGACGGTTCGCGGCTCCTGTCCATGAAGTTGAGGACGCAGAAACGGAAGGGTGCGAGAGGCAATTTTGGAATCGTTCGTGCGTTAAAGGATATAGCAGCGTTCTAGAGTGGCACAATACTCGCAGGAATCTAACAGACGATAATACTTAACTGGCAATTCATCCCCCACTACCACCTGACTCGCTGGCACTAGCTGATTCCTTTGGGTCTCGACATTCCCTTATTCCGCATTCATCTCGGTAATAGCCGATTCGTTTCACGTTCGAACTTTTATAACTTTTCACGATACTTCGATGTTGTTTTAAAGAATTATATAAGCTTCCTCAGATAAGTTGCTTCAACTTTTAAATTTCAACTCCACTAATTTCTTAACACTGAAATTACCGACCAGTTACATTGACTTTTTGAAATTCCTCTATAGAAACTCTAAGAGTGCATCTATTGAGATTTTATTTAATTTACAATTCAGTTTAGGTATTGTTAAATCAGTTTCTTTGATTATTTCTTAAAGAAATATCTGTTATATTTTTGATAATTGCAAAAGGAAGAAATCCGGAATGGGTCATTTTGGCAGTTTTAGTGTTAATCTCTTATGCGTTCATAATAGAAGTGATCGAATAAAACATATTCAAATCAAAGATATATTATTATCATGCATGTGTATGTATCTATATCCGCGGTTTCCAACCTGGGAGACGTCAACATTTTTAATAAAAAATTAATGTTCATACCATAATATCTACAAATGAATAAACTTCATATCGTAACGTAACAATACAAATTCAGTGAAGTAATGTTTATTTTGTAATAAAGTTATTATTATTTAAAACGTGTCTATATTATTATATCTATTAAAAGATAGAGAGGCGTAGTAACATAAAGGTTGGAAACCACTAATCTATATTACATACTATATATATTATTTATTACTAACTATTTCATAGACATTTTGCTCAGTTACTATAGTCAAGATATTCTTTGGAGTAATAGATATCTATTTACTTCTATTTATTTTAAATCTAGATCTATATTATTTACAATGTATTTCGAACTATCGGTAAATATTATTGTTAACACTTTACCGACCGGTAGCGGTAAATGGTAACCCATTAATAGGCTATCGGTCGGTAACATGTTAATTTAAGAAATTGAATAAATGAATCATTAATTTCGCTTTAAGAATATATATAGGGAAGACATCTTGGAAAAGCCTTTAAAATAGAAAGTAAAAGAGATTTCAGAGAACTACTTGGAAAATTGCATTGCCTCGAAATGGCGAATGTTAAAATACGCGAGATCGAAACTCAGAAACAGTTTTCGGTGCATTCGGCACGGAAAGAAGAATAGGAACGTATAGAATAGCGGTTCAGGAAGTTGCCGTTTCCTTATCAGTAAAATAAATCGTTTGCGTGGGTGGAAAATTTCTCCTCTCGAGCCATTATCTCTTTTCTTCCTCTCTAGCTTGTCGATACCCCGAAAACGTTTATGGTTATTGGAGTTCTTCTAAGTAACCGACAGTTCAAATTTATTCATTTAAAACGACGAATCTCTAATTGAATCTACTACAACCAAAAGCGAGAATATATATGAAATTCACGAAAAATTGTAGGTCTCAATTAGAAAAGTTTCAAGTATTCTTATTTTTATAACCTCCATTAATTTGCATATGCAATGGAATATAAGAGGCTAAAGGAGAATGGAACGTTAAATACCAAATCTTACGATATATTTTATGCGTCACTCTTCAAAATACTTAATATTATAACAAAAAGTACTGTAATATTATTGCAAACATTTAATATGATTTTATCTGAAACAAATTTGAATTCTGGCAAATTCTACTGCCATGTTATGCGTTAAAATTTTAAGAAGAAATATTGAATTTATTATTATTTTATTAGTACTCCTTATAGTCTCTGGTTAAAAATTAGTATGTTTAGTAAATATTCTTACCATATTTAAGAAAAGATTTCGCCTTCTCTTGATAATAAAAGAAAATTTGTACTTTAAAACACGAATCCTTCGACGCTCTCAAACTGCTGGCTTCCCGCTCTGTGACAGTGGGAGACACCTGATGGACTAATAAGGAACTTGACTGTTCTGTAGAACAGCTCTCTGATTGGTCAATTTTGAAACCCGGAAGAAAGCGGTTGTTGCCTGTTTAACGTGCAATGGCAACGGTTTTGTGGCGCGATACTTGGGGTGTTCGTCCGAATATAATTTTTAAGAAATATACGTAGAAATCTGTGATAGAAATGTCTTACGCGTGTCGGGCTATTGATTTCTTGTGCGACATTTCAATAAATTGATGATCGTAACAGTGTAATCGGTGTAGGGGCGAAATAATCGACGGAAGATTGTCACAGACCTGTTGCGCGTTCTTCATACATGACAAAATATTGTAATTTCGTTTTTGGTAACGTTACATTGGATTAAAGATGACTACGTCGTTGTCATTATTGGCGAGCCACGATGAGGTGGTGCGATGCACGGATGTACTCGTAAATGGAGCCTGCGAAGAAGGTATTTTCTAATGCTTTTATTACGTGCTTACCCCCCACAATGCTCTATCGTTGATAACGCATTCTTAGAAACATACCTTGGCAAGATGCGTACACGCAACATGCTGTGGAAATATTAAATTTTCTTAGGGGGAATATTTTAATTTTGTTAGGTAGTTTTATAATGTTTTCATTCTTTTTAAAAGTATTCGATAAATGATTCATGTGATAATTCAAGACTGCTTAAAACAAGGATTAAATTATAGGATGCTTTCTATTTTTATGAGAATGTTCCATAATAGTTTTATTATTTTTGAGAGATGTTATATGTTAAGGATTATTAATGTTTCTTAAAGGAGTTTACTTTATATTAAAACTTTTCGCATAGAATTTTTACAATTTGCAATAAATCAAGAAGAAATGAGACAAAAATGGCTGGCATCGATACAAGAATGTCAGCGTCTTCATTCAGCTTTAGAAAAAGCTCATCAAGAAGCAGCAGATTTAGATCGTAAATTAAGTCATGCTAGACGACTTCTGGATGAGGAAAAACGAAAGAGGCGAACTGTTGAGGAACAAAGAAATTCATTGGTAGTTAAAATATTTTATTGATATTTTAAATTCTTTCATAGCATGATAGATTTCATTACTCATGTATGTGTAGGAGAGGCAAATTGCTATGGCTAGGGATCTTTTATTTAATGACGGTGGAAGAAATTTAAATGACGAAACCAGAGAGAAGTTGCAGTTTTTAAATAATACTACATTGAATGGCCGTCACAGTAACATACATGTCAAAGATGTACACCAAAATGATAAGTGAGTTTTTATTTATAGCAAAAATGAATAGCTTCATTCGCAATAGGTACTTAGTAATTAATATTTTAGATTAAATACTATAGCGGAGCTGGACTCCACTGGTTCTATATTAAGCGACTTAAGTTGTTTCTCCAAGTCAGAAGATGATTTAGATACCAGTGTAATTGTTCAACAAAGTCAAAAGAAACGAGAATGGAAGGAACATAGACCTAGCGGTGAATATTCTGCAAAAAAACGTCGTAGCACAGTACAAAAGGTTGCAGAACTAAATTCATCTGACAGAATAATAGCTACAACTACTGTAGTTATGCCTAAAGAAGGTCCTATCACTGCATCTTCTGTAATCGAGGCAATGCCAGCAGATGAAAATGCAGATCCACAGGGTCCATTACATAACTCTTGCAAAAGGCACAAAAGTGGTGATCGCAGTAAATCAAAAGTAACACCTGTTAACAAAAACGATGTGCAAACAGATGCTGTAGTGAGTTATGATTTCATACAAAGAATATTCATTATGAAATTTTTTACTTTCCTTAATTTTCAAAAACTTCCTCTTAGCCATCTGCACCAAAAGCTGATATTCTTACATCAGGATCAGACTCTGAGGGTGTTTTTAAACCTAGTCCAAATATAGGAGGATATACGTTAAATACAAAGTCTGCTAGAGGTCATAGTTTTATAGCTAAAACAGTAATTAAGCCAGAAGTTTGTACACCCTGTGATAAAAGGTACAGATATCTATGCAAAAACTTAATTTCATTCATACAAACAGTTCATATATTCAACAGTCTAAGATTGAACAATATTTCAGAATTCGTTTTGGTAAAGTAGCTTTAAAGTGTAGAGATTGTAGAGCTACAGCTCACACAGAATGTAAAGATTTGGTCCCATTACCATGTGTGCCCACTGGAAATACACCTACATTACGTGGCACTTCAGTGAGTAATTATTTTACGTTTACAAAAATTTGTGTTAATACATAATGATATAAAAAAACTATGATTGCTATCATCATTACTAGGGAACTATAGCAGACTATACACCTATGATTCCACCAATGGTACCATCATTAGTGGTTCATTGTATCAATGAAGTGGAATTGAGAGGAATGGGCGAACAAGGTTTATATAGAGTAAATGGTGGTGCAACAGAAGTGAAATGCTTGAAAGAAAAGTTCCTTAAGGGTAAAGGTGCTCCTAATCTTTCTGATGTTGATATACCTACCATATGCTCTACCCTTAAAGATTTTCTAAGGTGTGCTGACTTAAAAATTTAATTGCTAATAAACATACTGGTAAATGATTATTAATTGCTACTAATAATCATTATTAGATCTTTACGGGAGCCGTTAATTACTGTAGGATTATGGGCTGACTTTGTTCGTGCTACTGCTATTACTGATAAACAAGATGCTGATGCCGCTTTATATCAAGCAATTTCAGAATTACCTCAGCCTAATAGAGATACTCTTGCCTTCTTAATATTACACTTACAAAGAGTATCAAGTAGTCCTGAATGTAAAATGCCTATAAGTAATCTGGCCAAAGTTTTTGGGCCCACATTGGTAGGTTACAGTTGTCAGGAGCCATCACCAACTTCTTTACTTACAGAAACCAGAAATCAAGTTGCGGTAAGTTTCGTAACGCAGCGTAATGTGGTTAAACGAGCCTTTAAAAATATCAAAACATTTTACAGATAGTTGAAAATTTGTTGAAAATTCCTTCTGATTATTGGGCAAATTTCGTTAATCCTGAAAATTTAAATAATGTTACTACTCATAAAACAGCTGAATTAAGGCATACACCATCCACGGAATCTTTGCTTAAACGTAGTACTTCCCGCGGCTTCTTTAACACTCCACTTGCCTCTAGGTACGTGTTTTTTTTAATCGCCATCGCTACTTAAATTTTGTATATACTATATATTTTTTTTCTTTTTTTGGAATGCTTGTTCCAGCAGAACATTTATGAAGAGAAATAAAAAATACTTCGCAACACCACCCTCTAGAGCAGGTTTCTAAAAAGTATAGGTACGTATATATTACATAAGTCAAGGTACAAATATGCGCACTAATTATCGATTATTTAAGTATAATTACACTTTAGTGTTTAAAAATGTGCAACACAATAATTCTGTTTTGTTCAAAAATTCATGACTATTTAATGCAAATAATTTTTCGTGTAATTCAACGGTAACAATAAGTACTATTAGATTACGCTGTTAGTGTGTTTGAAGTTAAAGAAATTAAACTATTAATGACATAATATATTAAATATAATTATTTTGTACATGCGGATAAATATAATAACAATGATAATCTCAATATTTTAAGTTGAGACTAAAACGTACTTAGTTATATCTGAATTTAGTACAATTCGTTACATCCGTAGAGATTCGTAAACGTGATACTTTTTGTTAACACTGACACATGTAAAAATTTCCGACGGAATAAGAAGAAAAATTGTTTTACTTCAATATGACTTAACGTTTAAAATAGAAATACACGAACGGGTAATAAAAATTATAAATTTATTATTTCTAATTTTGTAAAAATAATATCTGCCTTATACAAATTAAAGTAAACTCGTCAATGTATATTACAAAAAAATTTTTTTAATTCATTTACAACAATTTTAAACGTTAGCAATAGTATTTTCAATTTGTACATACTTTCTTTACTATCGTAATAATAATAATTGTATCACAAATATATGTTACAATTTAAAAGAAATACACAATTAATTATGGCAAAAATAAATTTTTTCGCTATCATAACGAAAATGTAAGCTTATGAAACATTGTCCATTTGATATTTCAGTCGGTGCCTTAAAATGTCCGTGTGCCCGATTTTTCTTTTATTTCCCAACAACATTCCCAGAAATATTTCAGTCTATTATCTCCATTCGAACAAAAGTGTCGAAAATCTTGAATAAGTTTCTTTTGAAATAATTCATCGCCAGCCAGCGTATATGATAACTTCCATTTCCGACTAACCATATGGTTCCACGACCAAAGAAATCCAATCTAGGGAAAGTAAAAAATTATTCATCTATTTTCTCCTAAAAACATACATTATACTTACCCTTCTATCCATGCTATAATCATTTTTATTTTTCCCGCTAACATGTCTTGTGATGTAAGCCTCATGTGGACTGGGCTGATCGGGATGAACTGGATATCCTTTTTGTCCTGTATTTCGTCTCACAACATTTGTAGACGTTCTGGGACGAAACCTTGTGTTTGTTGTAGAAGGAATAAGGATAAATGCATTCCCAGTCATATGGACGTACTGGTGATCATTTTCTGTGCTTTCTATAAGACATGGAATGAAGCCAAATCTTTGTACAATTGCTTCTTGGAAGAGAAAGAGTCGTTGTGCACAGGTCTCTTCTCGAAACTCTGTAATCAATATTTCTCAATCCAGCACTTTCAATATTTTATCTTTCGATATTTAAATTCGTATTAACACTTTGAGCACCCAAAAGTCAACACAGCCAGGATATAAATTTCTTATTTCTCCAAACGATACGGCTGCAAAAAGCTGTACGTCATCAAGAATTGGGAAACGCAGCACTCAAAGTGTTAATATCAAAATAATAACAAACCTTCAAAAAGAGGTTGCTTATTTGTCATAAGACATTCCGTATTGAGTGGTATAAATATAGGCCCTCTTAGAGGATCGCTTTTCAAAGTAAATGGTAAAGCCAGTAGATCACTAGGAATAGGAACCATATGAATACCACACATTTGAGCTTTCCGTTGCCACACGAAAATCTTCCAAAAATATTTTGACATTAATGACTTATGAAATTTCATTGTTAATATGTATGATATATAGAGTATAATTCATATTCTTACAAGATCGGCAACTATGCTGCCAGATGATGCTACCCATTGTACCACGAGTTCATAAGAATGATCCACTTTGTATATAGACTGATATCTTAAGTGACCCCATTCAATTCTATCGCTCTTATTATTTATGTCGATGTCTAAATGAGTATGCTTATATGGTGGTGCTACAAAAATGCCAATAAAAAAAAAGAAAAATAATTAAGATAGTAAATTGAGGTTGCATGAAGTATCGAATCATTACAATATACCTCGCCATTCTGGGTCGTGTGTATAATCTATTAAGTCTAAGTCGTCTTTAAGAAACGATGGCACATTTGACTCGTCAACTGTATCGCAGCAAGGTATATTTATTGGAGACGACATTGTTGGAAAAGCTCCTATAGAAGTAGGTTCACACCAACTTTTCGGTGCTTTTATTTCTACTTCTACCCATTCATTCTCAAAACTTTGTAAGTCGCCAGTGGGTGAAAAACAATCTGTTGCTTGAAAACGTAAATGTTACAAACAATACTTTGAAAACGTAAATGTAACAAACAATAATTTGCAAAATTTTATACAATGTATAAACGGTATCGCTGCTTACCCCTTTGATTTTCTTTATCTTGTACTACATGGTATAAGTAAAATCCTAAAATAAATGGCTTAGAAAAATCACCAGAGGCATGGCAGATCAATTTATCTTGAATCATTCCCTGAACCAGAAAATCAAATTAGAATGTAATTGATTATTCGACACTTTCAAGTAGAACCTTTCTTACATTCATAATATTAATAGCGCCATCAACTGTTACCCCTCCCTCTATGTGATTGTTTAACCACTGCACCGCATCCGCGCTAACAAATGTCTGACTTGGAAGCGATGGATGTTGCGTAAGGAACCCTACGCCAGACTGGGAATGTTTCATTGCTTCTAGAATTTCATTATTTGGTGCAGTACTTTTTATCTTCATCATCTCCATATTTGTACTGTCGGACAATGTTTACGTATTAATTACCATGATAAGCGAATAACGTGATAGTTTTATCATTTATTCTACCTGTCTTCGTTAGATTCAAAGTGATCCTGTTGTTGTTCGAGTGAAAGGGGCAATACAGCTTCGCTAGCTGGTGAGATTCGGCCCCTATCCATAATTTTAGAGCCTGACCTGATAATGATAGAGGAAATAAAATTACACGGTGTTTTTACCAATAAAAGAATGCATGGAAAATGGAATATACAGATAGAACATAGTAGAAAGTAAGCAATGTTTCAAATTGCAATATGAAAAGCCACAAAATTTCTTTGCATATGCATATAATTTGCATTTATCTCAAACCATCATTATCATAGAATGTTCTCTCAATAATACGTATGTACATTATAAATTATATAAGAAAATATTCTTTGGTGATACATTAGAAATTTGTTCATTATTTCCGTATGAATACACCTGATATGTACATGCGTATCAAACAGTTCTGAATACATATTCAATTTTCTAATTGAATTTAAAGAAATTAAAAGAGTAAAACCAACCTGTTTGGCACGTGGCGAGGAGTGTCGAGGCACGTGCGGGCAGTCGCAGCGGTATTCACTACATGCCTCTCCTGTACAGAGAACCCCGTCACTCCCTCACTCACTACCAATATCTTCTACTCTACAGAGTATTTGTACATTTTACAATTCTTTATTTAAGAAGATAATCGTTATAATGTCATTCTTAGTCAGAAACAAACTGTTACAAATACTCTGTACCTTATATTTACTAGATGATGTAAAGAAAGATAAAAGCAGTTGGAAGATACAGAATGGATACTATATACAAAGATTTTCGAAACATTTGCAAGAACAGTTTTTCTTTGATTCATTCGCATCCCTTGAGAAACAGTGTGCCTTAACAGTTCCATCATACTTATCACCATCATATAAGCATGTAATATTCATAAGCACATTACAAATAATTCTGTTTAATACAATGTGACCAGAGTACCAAAGTTGCACGTAAAGAGACTTTATTTCTCCATCTCCTCAGAAAACATGCAGATGTGCAGTTTGTAAAAAAAAAGTGTGTCATACGTATGTGTATATATACATATATGATATTTCTATTGGCAAATCGTTTTAAAAAATATGTCATATTTAAATATGGAAATTTGCATCGTATAATTCATTATATATTTAACTGTTTACAATAATTGCTATATTAAATTTTTACTTGCAAGTGACATTGTTTTAGTTTGATTCCAATGTTATGCCATTAGAAATGTCATAAAATGTTTATAGCATAAAAATAATAAGTCTTCATTGGACTCACGTCAAGGACGAACTCATTCGCGTATACATGTAAAAAAAGGGATCCTGTTTAACGATCGAATGCATGTACCACAAAGCAGAAAAGCAACATGTAAAAACCATCGAACATTAAATTGCAATGGTCCACCATTACAAAGTAAATATACTGCAAGCTATACCATTACATTTGCGCAAAGCAACAATGCTGAAATCATTAATCTAAGCTTGTTCAAACCTTGGTCTCGGTTTCTCTGGTAGACGATTGCTTCCAAGTCGCTCCCTGAAGGGAGAGCTGCCAACTAGACTGGTCTGAAAAGCATGATGAAGAGTATGGGTAATTGTAAATGTATGAAGAAGCTCATGATCATGAAGATGTATATCTGGTTTGTTTAACTGTAATGCTATAATTGTTAACATTATATCGACAGAAGAGTATTAAATTATGAAAAAATAAGAAATAAATTATATATGTCAATAATTTGCATTACATAAAAGCTTGCTAAAAAAATGTGCGCATTCAAGACAAATAACAGGCATGGTTGCATTCATCATGAGATATGTTGTGTAAGCTGTTCGAACGTTCTAAATATTATGTAAAATAAGGTGGTTAAATTTAATTGCAGCTATAATATCCACTTATGTTCATATTAAATGGTGTTTAATGCAGAAATAAAAGACATCAAGATCTCAAAATTGTTCCTAATTGCCGTAAAGGCAAAGTGTATGTAGTAGCTTGAAGCCTAAGTATAACGATAAAATGTCGTCGTATCGAGGTTCAACATATCGAGGCTACAGGATGCGAGGATATACCTGGTTAGTGAGGACTATCAGGCTCGTGCTGTGCCTGCGTCTGGTCAAATGAGAGGCAGGATCTCTTGGGGGAACACCACCTAGACTCGAAGGGTTCTGAAACATATCATGCTAAATACCCTTCCCTATACTAACATTCCGCTAATCTATTTGAATCTACTGTTATGCGTATATTTTTTGTGTAGTTGTGTGATCTCGGCAATGGCAACCCGCTGGCTGTAATATCATTTTAGAAAATGTTATACCAAACGAAAATAGTTAATATATAATCAAATTCACTTTTTTTTGGGAATGTTATATCTATTATTATTTTAATACCAAAAAAGCTGGTCAAAGTAATCGTGCTCTTTTTGTCTTGTATTTTTAGCAGCGACGTGTCTACTTATCTAGTGCACCATGTAGGATCACACTAAATATCAAAGTGACACTGTGATAAAACTTTCACACACGCACTGCAAGATAACGAGAATTTACGGTTCGTGGTATCCAATAAAATAATACATACTAAATAACAAATACATACTCAAAAGTAAAATTAA